CCCCAAAACCCCAAAACCCCAAAACCCCAAAACCCCAAAACCCCAAAACCCCTTCAATGCTTGCAAATATTGAATTGTAACGATAATTATCTAATTTAGCCGTGATAAGACCCTATTTTGCCTGCTACTTTCTTATCGAACCTTTGTTTTGCCATATTTTCTCTCCAGTTCATAGTATTTCCCATGTTGGTGGATTGGGCTTGGTTTATGATATTCCGGTGATTTTCATGCAAGTGTTGAGTAGTCTCTGGATCTAGTTCTTTCCATATATTTTGTGGTTTTTCCTTTGGGACAAGATAGACTCTCTTTTTCTCTAGTCTCATATTATGCTCTGAGATGACTCCAGCCTGCATTGGATCAGTTGTGTTTTTAGGGTATTGACAATGCATCCAGTTTGGAGTCAGTTTTGATGTTTTGGCTGCATCTCCTGAAACTCCAAATTTCTCAACAGGCTTATTTTCTATTTTGATTCTTTGGTGTTACAGTGATCCAACCTTGATTTCTAGATACAATAGTCATTGTCCCATTGAAGCCTTTAGCTTTTGAAGGATCAGCGTTATTCTGAGGTTTCTCAAGAATTCTTAAATAGTCAGGAATAGTATTTTGGTATTGACCTGAATTTCGCTTTTTAGTCATGAATAAATGTTTTGTGTTGTTGTAATATCCATTTTCATCATTAGTTCTTCTCAACATAGCCTCTGCTATTTCTTTTCCTCTAGAGGTCCTAATCATCCCTGAACTTGATCTTTTAGAATTTAGTTGCTCACTTCTTAATTTCTCAAATTCAGATTTTTGAACATTTCGTGCAACGTTGAACTGGTTGAGTGGCTCTCCAAAGTTATTAGCCAAGTTCTTCCTGTTTATCTCAATATCTCTTTTCATATTATGCACCTTGTTCAAGGTGAGATTGCTGTCTGTCTGTCTCATATCAATTCTATTTGCTTCTTTTTCCAATTTCACATAATTGTCAGGCCTGTAGTGCCTCTTCGAGAATTTACTTTGATTTATTGCTTTTACGTTTATTTCATCATGAGGTTGGAGATTTCTTTCAGACATTCTAGCAGCAGGGCCTGGCTCAGCAGCACTGGGCTTAAATTTTCTCTCACTTATAGGCTTTGAATACTTCCCAGTTGAATAAAATTGCATCAGTGGAGTATCTGGAGGTCTGTGAGGAATGATTGACATTTTTATAATTTTATTTGTTAGCAATTTTTTACGAAATAAAAGGGGTTTTGGGGTTTTGGGGTTTTGGGGTTTTGGGG